GGACTAGATGACCTTTAAAGGTCCCTTCCAACCCAAACCGTTCTATAACCCCACTCCCCCCACCACTTTGTGGTGTGTGTGCCTGATCCCCATCAGTCCAACCATGTTATCCTATGTGGGGTTTGACCTGCAGGATAGAGCGGAGCTGGGACCCACTCTAAAGTCACCACCCCTCTCCTGTGCAAGGCTGTGGGAGCTGGGGCAGAGGCCAGAACTGAGCATTAAGAGCACATTTGTGATGGCACAACTAACACCGAGCCAAGCAGCCAGCTCAGAGCTGCTTCACAGGGCATGTATGAACTCGGGAACCTGCAACTTAGCCATTAGCAACACTGCCAGGGACAAAGCAGACAGCACTGAGGGGCTGCCACTGGCATCCCCCAGCCAGCCAGAAGCCCTGTCCTCACAGCCTGGTGGTAACAGGGATCTGTTACCACCTTGGGATGCTCCTGGCTCCCACAGCCTCCCCAGCTCTGCACACAGAACCCCTGAGGTGGGCCTGATGGGCTGCCTACTTCCAAGCAGCACAGCTGTGGCTGGGTTGGACTGTTTTGATTTTGGGTGTGCTGGGAGAGAGGCTCAGGCAGCATCCCCTATTCCTCTAACAAAGCTTTTCCATCAGCAGCAGGAAAAGCAAGAGGTCTAGCCTACACTAGTGTAAACCCTGCAGATTTGGAATAAAAAGCAGCACAGAACACGTTAAAAACCTCAAATCTGCTGGAGGCAAGGAGAGCGTGAGCTGGCCAGGGAGCGCTGCAGTGCTGAGCACACATGCCTGGTGAGGGGAGCCCTTTCCTTCTCCCTCAAACACAGGCCTCTCTGGGGGTGATGGCCCAGGAGGAGATGCAGGCAGACACTTCTAACACAAGCAGGCTTCAAAGCTCAGCCTTTCCCTGCCAGCCCTTGCTCCACAGGCTGCACACAGGCACAGCTCAGCTTAGCACATGTGCCTCCTGCAGAGCTCCTCGGGAGAGCCACTCACCCACCGAGAGGCCAGGACTGGGAGGAGAGATGGCCACGCAGGCTGCCTGCAAACTAGCCTAATACCCATCTTTAAAAGCTGTATGAAACAACCCTCCCGCGGCATCTGCAACGGAGAGAGGAGCTGTGAGAGCTACTGCATGGAGCAGCCATCCGTGGGCAGGAAGTCATACACGTACATGGCCACCGACTTGGACAGGTAGGTCATGGTGCCGAACCGACCGCTTGGTGCGCTGTCGTACAGCAGGCTGCAGATGCCCGTCGTGGGATCCTTCTCCAGCATGTGGTCATCAGCACCCAGGGCTTTCTGGATTTTGGACAGGGAAGGAGAAAGGCAGCATTAGGAATACGGGCAGCTCCCTCACCAGCTTCCACCCCAAGCATCCTCTGTTGCACTTGCAGTGTGACACATCGATGGTGAGTGGCAGGAGGAGGACACTACATCTTTGCTGTGCCTCATGAACACAATGGAGACAACGGGCAGGACCCTCCAGGTGGGTGAACACTGCATAGCTGTGGGGAATGCAGCCAGCAGCCCTGGGTGCAGGCCGTGGCCCCTGCATGAGGCCTCGCCCCTACCTGCTCTTCATAGAAAAGGTCATTGGCCATTTGCAGGATCTTTTCCACAGCTATGATGCCGCCGATGGTGTGCACCTCCATGTCCACCAGCATGGTGAGCACTAAGATAGCCTCCACCAGCAGCTGCCTGTACTCTGGTTGGGGCACACGGTTGAGTACTGACTCTACATGCACAGCAAACTTCATTTCCCCTGGGGTCATCTGTGAGGAGAGAGAAATGCACCTAGAGCACTGTATCGCCAGCACAAGTCCTCAGCTATGCTGGGCACTCACCCAGGGCAACCCAGCACCCAACACCAACCCACCTGTCCTGTTTCCCCTTCACACAAACCTCCTACCTCTCTGGTTGTTGAAGAGGGGAGAACAAAGCCCTCCACGGAGAGGCCGTGGCACTGCAGGACAAGAAGGAGAGACCATGGTTATGGCCTGGAGAAGCACTGCGCTAAGACACGTAGGTCCAGCCCACCAACTTGCTCCCACTTGTGCATTGGTGCCTGCTGCTCACACCCCCCAGCTCCACCTCTTTGCACAGCATCACTCCTTTCCCATCAGTTTGGCATCAGCCGCAGCCCTCCCACACACAGCATGCAGCTCTGCTCCCTGGCTTACCATGCCAAGGATGAGCTGTTCCTGGAGTTGCTTCAACTGTGGCTCCAGCCCTGCCCCTGCCTGACTAATGTATAAAGCACCTGAGCAGATCTAGCCCCGCTCTGCAAGGGTCAGCACAGTATGAGGTAGGTCCTACGTGCCTACAAGGCAGCTCCAGCTCTTCCCCAGCTTTCCAGGGCCAGCTGCAGGCTTTGTCCATGAAGCACATATCTACACAACATTGGGGACCAGCCCCAGGTGCCTAAGTCTCTCTGGCAAGCCTGGTGCCTGGGACCACAGGCTCACATGCATGGAGAGAAGCCAGCCGGACATCCAGCTCACCTTCTGCAGGACCTTCCAGACCTTCTGGTAGAAGCCCACAGGGACACGGTTGAGGGCCCCATCCAGCCGCCGTCTCCGCTGCCACTGGCCCTGGCGGCTGTCCTTACTGCCGTGGTCTTCCAGCATGCTTGAAAATGAGCCCTTGCCCAGCAGCTCCGAGTGCCCAGCAGACTGGACAGACAAAACAAGGACCACAGAGACTGCTGCAAAGTTAAATACCCCACAAGAACGCAGCCCACCGCTGCCCAAGAGTTTGTGTTCACCCAGCCTGGTTCCCAGGACAGAGCTGCCACCCCCTACCCGCAGCAAAGCCCACCCTGCAGCCCCAGCTCCCTGCAGCACCCCCCAGAGCACAGCTCCTTTCTGCAGCCACAAACAGGACAGACCCCATGCGTGCAACCAAACAGCGCAGGTTACCAGAGAGGACTTCAGGTCGGCGTCCCCAGACTGCAAACTGAGGGGCTGAAGGAGAAAGGGAGAGATAAAAATCAGACTGTGCCGGAGCACGGCAGCCATCACAGCAAGTAGAGCAGCAGCAGGACAGACCAAGCTCAGGTCACGGGGCAGTTATCCCAGGGCTGTGGTTAGCTGGAGATTGAGAGGTAGTTTCAAAAGGTGAGCTGCGGGAAGTCTCATGTTAGCATCAGAGGGGAAGGACTGCGCCAGGGCACAGAGTGGCTGCAAGGCCCCCACACGCTGGTGCTGCGGCAGCAGCGGGCTCGTGCCGGCCA